CTCCTCTGCTCTCACACTCCCTCTCACTCTTAGTCACTCTCTGCCTCTTTTTCTCAAGTCCTTTTGTTTCTCGCACATGCCTGTGCTCTCCCTCACAGGCTTATTTTCTCTCCTCCTCCCCTCTTTCTCTCAGCTTTTGGTCTCTCCCTCAGCCCTGTCAGGAGCTGGCAACCCCCCTTTCTCCTCCATCCCAATCTCCCAGAGCCTATAAACTCTGCCTTATAGCTTCCTCCTTGGGATAAAAAATAAAATTAAAGAAGTCATTGGGCTGGGGGTATGCTTCCAGGTTCTAGGGCATACACACCCTAGCCCTGACTAGAGGGAGTGGTGCTGGAAGGACCAGCTCAAGACTCCCAGCCTCTTTCCCAAGGAGATGCTGAGGACTTCCAAGGTGGTAGTCCTTAGGTGTCAAGAGCTTTTGCCCCTCTCCCCTTTCAGTTAGATCTGCTCTATGAGCACAGGGTGGGAGATGTGAGTTTGGTCTGGCTAGAGGTTGGTAGGAACCTGTGTGTGTGTGTGTGTGTGTGTGTGTGTGTGCGCGTGTTGTGTGTGTGCCTTGAGGGGAGGGGACTATGAGCGAAGTGGTCCCAGGGTAGTCCCCTCCCCCAGGTTCTTCCCCCAGGAAGCTCAGGGCAGCCATCAGGACTCACACTTGAGGCCTCAGTTAAGTCCAGCTGCTGTAGTTCAGTCTCTTAGTCTTGTTCTGACCCCATTCTGCCCTCCACTCAGGTTCCCCCACCTCTAGGGAGTGTGACAGTGCCTGAGATCACATTACACCTTCCCTACAAGGAGGTGGGAGTGGACTTTTCAGTTTCGAGACCAGGACCCTTGACTTCAGCATGGATGGGGGCAGCTGCAGACCCTGACCCATGCTTGCCTGCTATAAGTGAAAATGCTGGCCCCAGCTCCCTCACAGCTGTTCCAACTCACAGTCCTGGGGAGGCCAGCTCTGGGTTCCAGGGCGGCAAGGGACCTGACCCCTTCTATTCTGTGGCTGATTGGCCACAGGTGGAGACCTGTGAGTAAAGCGAACCCAGCAGTTCCTAAAATTCCCTGTTCCCTTCCCTCCCCACTCTCACCCAAGTCTCTGGGAGCAGCAAGAAGGACCTGAGAGGCTGGATTAGGGGCTGAATACTGGGCCCCCTTTTTCCTCTCTGTGCTCTCTATTGCCTCACCAGCTCAGATGGGTGAAGATGAATAGGCCCTGGTCACTTGTACATTACTGTTTTCAGGGGCTGGGATTATGGAAAGTATGGGCCATTAGGCCACTGGTTGCCATGGAGACACCAGGTTTGGGGGAGGGTTCACCTGTGATTATTAGGGAAGCTGAGGTGAGGGCATGCTCACTAGTCACATTCTGGATCCTTTGCCTCATGGATGGTAGGGATTCTTCCTGGGTGTATTTTTATGGTGGTAGTCTAGGGTTGGGGTGCTAACAGCCAGGAGTGTAACCTCTTTCACCTTCTTTCTTCTAAATAGTACTATGTTTGGCATGCTGTCAGGCAGCACCTTGCTACTTACAAAGCATTCTCATGTATGATCTCACCTAGGAAGTAAGTATTGCCCCATTTTCCAGAAGAGGAGGCATATGCCAAGAAAAGGGAAGTGACTTGCCCAAGGTCAGTGAGCTGGTAAAGGAAGACCTTCCATATGTGAATTCTGTACAGGCCACACTGCTGCCATGGAACCTAGAAGAGATGGGCATTAAAGACGGGATTTAGGAAGAGGCACGGAATCTTTGCCTCTGGATTCCCCTATAACCTCACAGGTGTGTGGTTCCCCTATAACCTCACAGGTGTGTGTATGCATCTGTCCTTGTGACTCAGGTCCTACCTGTGTGGTGTGAGCAGCACTCTGGCTTCCTCATTTGACTTTGGTCAACTTACCTCCTATTGTCCTATGATCAAGGCAGCCAACCTGACACTCTTCTTCCTGAGCTCTGACTAGCACCTTTGATTCCTCTCTTGGAATTCTCACTTCCTCTTAGGGACCCCACAGAAAACAGACAACTGGGAGGGAGATATTAAGTCCTGAGAGGGCTTAACATCTCCCTTTGGCCAGGTGGAGTTTTGGCCTGGTGGGACAGAAAGGAAGGCATAGATTATCATAGGTGTGAGGGTGACTTCCTCTGGGGCTCTTCTGGATTCCCTGCTTCCAACAGTGCTGCCCAGCTGCTGTTCCTGCCCACCCACGCTTGGGCGGGCACTGCTGGGACATGCTAGGCCTGCTCTACTGCCTCAGGGGCTGGGTAGAGCTAGTGGAGTGAAGAGGAGCCTTTAATTTGGGGGTCCCCCACCCTAGCTGGGATGAGAGCAGACTTGAGTTTTGGCTTGGGCTTGGGGTGCAGGTACAGTGGTTGCTGGTGGGGTCACCAAATCAAGGTCATGGCTAGAGTCTTCTACCAAACTTGGACGTTCATGGTCTGGTACCAGGTTTCCCTTTTGGCTATTCATTGACTTCAAGTTTCTAGAGCCTGAGGGAAGGGTAAGGAGGAAGGAAGTGTAGACCTGGGTGAATGTGGGCAGCATTCTCAGAATGTCCCCCACAGCTGTAAGTTCTATGTAGATACTGTGCATATGGATAAGGAGGGACTCAGCTGGATTAAAGAAGCCCCCCTTGGGAGGTCAGTTGGCCTCTGACTAGTCCAGGGTCTTGAGGATTGCTGCTCCAGAGCCTCATATCCTAGGATTCCTTTCAGAAATCATGGCAGTACTTCTAAGCTCAGTAGAAAGACTGAAGAAGGGACTTGGGCTAAGGTGGAGAAGAAGAGGCAGATCACAAGACAGGAGCTGGAACAACTCAGACTGCCCCATCTCATGTCATTTTACTCCCTGGGATGGGTCTTTGGGGGTCCCAGGGTTATTAGAGGCTAGGGAGGGAAGGCCTCATAATAACCTGCTTTAGGCTTCCTAGTGGGCTATGTCGTTCCCCTTATTTTCCAGAAAGGGGCTTTGTCTTTGGGCTGGCCCCAGCAGGACACCTTGGCTTGATAATGGGGAAAATGATTTTTTAAAGGTGGAGAATAAAGAGTTTAACTTGAGGACAGTTTCTCCCTCCTCCTTTCCTACCCCTACTCGATCTATAGGCTCCCCTGTATAGTATAATTTATGTTGTAACTTAGCTTCAGGATTCACTATCACTGGCTTCAAACTTACCTCTCATAACCCTTCTCCACTTCCTTGGGCTTCCTAAACAACAAGATGCAGTTTTCTTAGTGGTGAGGGAAGATGATAAGAAGATACCATTATGGTAGAACAGGGTCAGGGAAGGTGTGTCTCAGGCTCCTTTCCCTTCAGCATGGCTGATGTATTTTAGGGGAAGGTGAGTTTTCTTCTGCCAGCTTCTAGGCAAATTAACTGATGATTATTTATGAAGTCACTGTTCACAAGTTTGAAGAAAGTCTGAGGGGTGTTAGGTGAGTAGTCCTTTCTTCTTTCCGTTCTCCCACCCACTATATTGTCATCTGTTTCTTCAGTGTCTTTAAGTTAAAGGTAGAACCTGAAGTATTTAGAAGACCTGTGTTCCAGCTTCAGGCCATAGATGGTGATGGGAGACTGAGCTCAGGAAAGGCAAGACTTCCTTCCCAGTGATTAAGCCAGGGCCAAGTTGTTAGAGGAGTCCTGATGTGCTGCTATAGGCTAATGCGTCAGACTGCAAAGTCATTTGAACTGCAAGGTTGGTGGTTCAAGCTCACCAGCTGCTCCTCGGAAACTCTATACAGGGTCGCTGTGGGTCAGAATCAACTCGACAGCACTTAACAACAAAAACAAGTGGTTAGAAAGGTGTGTTGGTCTGTACTCGTTTCTATGCCCTTTATGTACTTGTTGTCAGCTCCAAGTAGGGTCTTGTTGAGGAACAACTGTATAAGAATTGAGCCTGTTAGACCTTTAGGGGATAGCATCCTGGGGGAATTTAAGCCCCTGGAGTTGGCGTTGAACCTCTGTCTTCAAGGGGAACATTCATCTGATCATTCATTTCCTCCCATGAGGGGCTTGGACTCAGTTTGGCATCTCTATGGTTCCTTCTGACTCTAAAATGTTAGAAGTTTATAATCTTGTCTGGATGGATCCAGTGTGAAGACTGGAAAGTTAAAAATGCTTTGGGGATTATGGAGGCTTTGGCGAAACTTGTTGGTTATAATGCATGTTGAGAGGTGATCCCTCTCAAATGTTTATGTGGGCTTCCATTCTATGCCTACTTCCTTTCTGGCTCATTGGAATAAGGTAAAGTTAGGTCCAAAGAAGAGAAGACTTTCTCATTTTGGCTTTTCCTGTCCTGCACACCAAGATGGTCCTAGGTAGGTCCAAAATTGTTGGAGCCTCACCTGACATGAAGCTGCTTTTCTTCTGCTACTTTATCTTCTTGGTTTGTTTACCTTATTCTCCCACCTGGGTATCATTTTCCTTTCTGGGGTGAGAACACTGAGGTGTAAGGATGCAGAGGCACTGACCCAGAGCTCTCAGTATGTCCTTGTTTCTTGTAGTACCCACTGTGTTTTATTAGGCCCTCAGTAACCACTCCCAAATTATTGCAGGGCCCTATGTATTGGTGCTCTTCACCAGCAGAGCCTGTCCAATACTATCAGCTTCCTCCTCTTTAAGCATTGCCTTCAGCCCTTCATTATCTTTTATTACCAATAGGATGTAACACACTGCTTATGGTGACCCTTGAGGTATTTCAGTGTGGTCCCAGCTGATCTTTTCCACCTTGTCTTCTGTTCCTCTCTACCTACCCCCATCCCCCCAGCTGGACAAATCTCTGGTCTGGATTTTATGTCCTAGACATTGATGTCCACTCTGTTGAATATTGACTTCATATACTTTGCCTTTTACCCAGCCCTTTCTGTGAAACTGTCTGTGATGATCTTAGTCATGTGAGCTGTCTCTTTCTTCTCAGTTCCTTCAATACTTGCTGTTTGAACCACTATCTTTGCACATAACTTATGGATAGCCTTGTGCTGTCTCTTGTCAGAGTGCAGACCCAACCATGCAGTAAACTCCTTAAGGCTGTGTCTTCTCTTCTGATTTTCCCTCCAAAAAACAAGACTAGACTCATACTGTTTGACAGACTATTCCTAAGAAGGAACCAAACATGTTGAGTAACTACTATGTACTGATATACTATGTGCTCTATCTCATCTACCTCCTTAGAGGTAGGGGTTCTTTCTATCCCCAGCTCACAAGTGAGGAAACTGAAACTCAGAGAGGTCAGGCAGCTCATCCAAGGTGGCAAAACTAGTAAAGGCCTTGCATGTCTGATTCTAAAGTCTGTGTTTGTCCTATATGATACTGCCTTGCTCTCAGTTCCAGCCTTCGCAGGCTCAGAAATGACCAATGGATTACCACTTGTGTCCTTTCTTACTGTGGGCTTAGCCAAGAACAGGGTCATATGAATAGGTTGCCAGCTGTCCTGCCCCCTTTTTTTCTCCCAGTGCCTGGCCTTCTGTATTAGAACACGAACCTAGCCCAGAAGGCAGCTGTCCATCTCTTTGAAAAACCTGTAGTAGGAGCAGTGTGGCAGTAGGGAGATTGGAATCTAGATGAGTGGGGTTCCCTATGCCCTATCATACATATTTTGTTGTCCCTAGTTGGGTCCCTTCTCATGTCTTCTTACAAGTGAACCTAGTCAAGTTTGGGGATACAGGCTCTTGCATTGTGAGGGTGGGGTGTGGTTGGTCACTGGTAGGACACTGCTTAATGGAAATAGGGAGAGCTGTGTAGTGCTCTACCTACCCAGAGACTGTTTTTCTCATCCCTTGGCTCCAGGCGATGCCTGTTCCTATCTTTCCCATCATACACAAGAATAGCAATGGTTGGGGAGAAGGCCTGGGTCCCAGACAAGTTGCACTCCCCTAGCATTGGCTGGGAGCTGCGGGGGTGGTGGCTAAGGCATGTGTGGGCTTGCTGTGTATGTGTGTGGTGGTGGTGGCGGCGGCGGCAGTGGCAGCTGTGCAGGAATGTGAGTATGTTGTATGAGGGAGATCAGGGGATGCTGCCACCTTCAGGCAATCCAGTCCTGACACCTTCATACCCAGTCCATTTGCCACATCAACCCCCTGGCAGCCATACCCTTAGGCCATTCCTTCCACACCCTGATGACAATGTGGTTCTCCCTCCTCACCCCCACCAGCCTGAGGTTGGAGGAAGAGCAGAATACCTACTGTTGCTGCTTCCACACAGTAGACCAGCTCACCTTGTCTGCTCCCTTGTTTCTGGGATGGACTGGGCCCCCAACCCTGGAGTTGACCGTCTCCTCCTTTCTGGGCAGGTTCCTGAGTGGGAAGGGCTTGGTGATGTACCCGAAGATTGGCGACAAGCTGGACATCATCTGCCCCCGAGCAGAAGCAGGGCGGCCCTATGAGTACTATAAACTATACCTTGTGCGGCCTGAACAGGCAGCTGCCTGCAGCACTGTGCTCGACCCCAATGTACTGGTCACCTGCAACAGACCAGAGCAGGAAATCCGTTTCACCATTAAGTTCCAGGAGTTCAGCCCCAACTACATGGGCCTGGAGTTCAAGAAGCACCATGATTATTATATTACCTGTGAGTCCCTATCCACATTGTGGTTCTCTCCCTGTGCTTAACTCTCTTCTATCCTATAGTACTGGGAGCTTAGACGTAGTACAATGATAGTGCCTGATCTCATCTTTGGATACTGGCATGCTTTGCTTCCACTCTGACCTTGGAATCTCAGCCCCAACATTCCACAAAGGGCCTTGGCACTCTAGGAGTTGGGTGGAAGAGGAATCCAATTCATGTTGTTTTCATTCTTATTTTCTTTGCCCACCTAAGATCTAATCATGGGAATGGCAGAGTTGATAGCCTTTTTTTCCTCATGGGAAACTGAGGGAGGCCCAGAAAGATAAAAGGGCTTCTTGCCCTAGCTCACACAGGGATTTAGGGACAGGATTGGGACTGCAACTCAAATTTTCTGACTCCTAGTCAAGGATTCCTTCCAGTTTACATGCCAATTGCTTTGATTCTGAGTAACATCAGCCAACTAGCAGACACACCTTATTGTTGCTACTAAGAAAGAGGAGCCAAAGCCTGGTTAGGATAAAGGAGCAGTTCCTTTCGGGGGAGGAGCCAGTTCTTGGCCTGGGCAGGGCTGGGCTATGACACTCTGTTCCTAGTAGGAGGGAGGAAAGTAGAAAGGGTCACAGATAGGTAGGAGGTATTTGTCACTCCCCCATGACCTCTTCTGTCCTTATTATTAACTGATACAGCACTAGGTTTTCTGGCAAATGCTGGCAGATCTTTTCCTCCCTATGACTTACTTGGCCTCTTCCTGCAGCTACATCCAATGGGAGCCTAGAGGGGCTGGAGAACCGGGAGGGAGGTGTGTGCCGAACACGCACCATGAAGATTGTCATGAAGGTTGGACAAGGTAAGTGCCCAGTCTAAGGGCCCTTCAGTTAGGCCTTTAGAACAGGTATTCCTGATTGGGTGTGGCTGTGTTAGGAAGGAGTCATGAGGGGGCAATAGGGGTAGAGAATCTGAGGTCCAGTTTACAGGCCATTTTTGGCCTGTCCTAGATGATCAAGGGCACCTGTGCTGCCAGAGACCCTCTCTCTCACCTGTCCTCTCCCCACCCCCAGATCCCAATGCTGTGACACCTGAGCAGCTGACTACCAGCTGGCCCAACAAGGAGGCAGACAACACTGTCATGATGGCCACACAGGCTCCTCGTGGTCGGGGTCCCCTAGGGGACTCTGATGGCAAGCATGGTGAGTGTATGGGTGTTTCTTAGAGGGCAGAAGCCATTACTCAGCCTCCCTGTCAGGTCATACCTATGAAGAAAGTCCAAGACCCAGTCTGAGATCTGGCTTATCTCCCAGGGACCCCTGGCTGACCATTACTCCCCTCCCTTACCCTTCTTCAGAGACTGTGAACCAGGAAGAAAAGAGTGGCCCAGGTGCAAGTGGCGGCAGTGGGAGTGGGGACCCTGACAGCTTCTTCAACTCCAAGGTGGCATTGTTTGCAGCTGTTGGTGCTGGCTGTGTCATCTTCCTACTCATCATTATTTTCCTGATGATTCTGCTACTAAAGCTGCGCAAGCGGCACCGAAAGCACACACAACAGCGGGCAGCTGCCCTTTCACTCAGTACGCTGGCCAGTCCCAAGGGGGGCAGTAGTACAGCGGGCACTGAGCCCAGCGACATCATCATCCCCTTACGGACTACAAAGAACAACTACTGCCCCCACTATGAGAAGGTGAGTGGGGACTATGGGCATCCTGTCTACATCGTCCAGGAGATGCCACCTCAGAGCCCTGCGAACATCTACTACAAAGTCTGAGTGCCCACTGTGGCCTTGGGCCCTGGAGAACAGATGGCCTAGACTGTACCTCTCCCTTCTCTCCCATACCCTTTCCCTCTGCCAGCTGTGCCCACCTTTGTATTTAGTTTTATAGTCCCTTGGCTTTTATAACTCCCCATTTCCCTGCTCCCTGGGCTTTGGAGGGGGGTGTTTACGCCCTCACCCCCATACTCTTGTGCCTTCCCCCTCTAGCCAGGGCTCTGAGCTCTATGGGGGTACCCCTTCTTGGTGGGCAGAGTTGGATGCTGATGACAGCAGGCAGGGAGATGCCCCCTTGGCTCTGTCTCCACCTTTGTCCCTCTTCCCAGGACTGCTTGTCCACTATCATCACCATTTTTAATGATTTTGTGCTCATTTTTTTAGCTGTCAACTCATTTTCTTTTCTTTCTTTCTTTTTTTTTTTTTTAAGAAAAATGTAAAAATGTAAAAGGCAGCTGCTCTCCAGGCTTTCTGAGCTTGGCCCAGTCTGTATAAGAGTTGATGAGGGCTTGGGGCTGGGACAAGATGTGACCAGCCAGGAAGCATAGAATGACATTTATTTTATAGGCTCCTTGGTATTTCTGGGGGAGTGGGGGCAGGCCAGGCCTGGTGTTGCCCATAAGGGCAGAAGAGAGAGTACCATTGGGCAAGGTGTCACACTCTCCCCTCTTAACCCTCTTTCTGCAAAGCTAAACCTGGCAGTGGGGAAGTAGCTGTCACTGTTCCACCAGGAAAAAAAAACAAAACCTTGTGGAATTCATGGGCATCTCCTGCTTCCCTCACTCTCACGGTAATTAATGTCTTAATTGACTGTTGCCTGGGGAACGGGAGAGCTACTGCAGGCAGATGACCTCATGGGGGGTGGAGGACAGTAAGCCTGGAGCCCCTTACCCTCACCCCCAATTCTCATTTCACCTCTGGCATCCTTTAGCCTGATGGGCAAACAGAGGCCCAGGTAGAAACTTATGTGGGTATATGGCCAGATGGCCTGCTTTTCTGGGCTCTAGCACAGGTAGGTGCCCACCATCTACTTAGCTCCTATTGGCCCCACAATCTTGGGAAGAGGAAGGGGCTGCCAGGGGCTGGGCCAGCCCACTGTGCACTTTGACCCTGGCTCTTTGCCAGCATGGCTGCTAACAGACTGACGCTTGACTGAGTCTTGCAGGCTCTCCCAGAGTAGTGTGAAAGGAGCTGGGCCTTATACCATCTACCTCCATAAGGCCTCTTGCCCAACTGCCCATCCCAGAGCCAGTTGGGAGAGGGAACAGAACAGCTACCTCCTTCCAGGTGGCAGTCAAAAAGGGTTTTTGTTTTTGTTTCTGTTGTCATTTGTGTAAATACTAGTCTTTTTTGAAAAAAAAAATGTAAAGATGTTTTGTATAAACTCTGAATTATTTTCTTGTTGCTTTTTTCTTAGAAAAAAAATGAGAACTAAAAAATAACATACCAAAATCTTTGGGACACGGCAAAAGCAGTGCTGAGAGAACAATTTATTGCAATAAATGCACACATCCAAAAAAAAAAAAAAAAAATTAACCACATGGAGAAATGAGTGTAAAACGGTGTCATGATGTTGGGGAATGGAATGTAAGTTTGAGTGTGTGTGTGTGTGTGTGTGTGTGTGTGTGTGTGTGTGTGATTCTTTGTACCCAAACCACTGATGGCTCTGGATAGATAAGGAAAGAAGGTAGCTGTCAAAATAGAACTAAATGTGCTCTGTGATCCTTCTGTTGGCCCTCCATGATCCCACCACACGCACATGCACACACACACACACTAAGTTTCTCTACTTTCTTGTGCTGCCATGGAACCTGGAATCATTTCTCTTTGTTATCCATGTCTCATTTATGACAGTGCAATACTGTGATGTCCTGCTATAGACTGTGGGCATTTGCCCGGTCTGGTACTGGCTAAGCTAGAGAGTGTTGATAGGGAGAGTGAGTATTCCCATGAGGACCTGGGTGTTTCCACAAGTACTTATATCACCTGACTGGGGCTGGATCTGGGACATGTGGCAGGCCCAGCCCTGCCCTGCCTTAGAATGCCTGGAGGTGGTAGATAGAAATAACTTTTCAAGAGCTGGGCCTCCACTGTAGCCCACTGGGCACCAGGGCTCCTCTAGGCTGCTCAGTTAATCTTTCAGCCAAAGAATCTTCTTTCTCTTGTCTTAAGAGCTGGGTCACACCAGAATCCATTACCATGATATATTTGGGAACATATAGCTGGCAGTTGAAGCCCTCATGCTAGAGCATCCCTGAGCACTCCAGCTGATGAGTAACTTGCTTGGGTCAGAGAGTATGGTGTCAGAATTAAAGAGATTTTGAACTCAGTCCCTCAGCAAAGACCCTAGCAGGGTCTGGAACCTGCTTGCTCTAGCATGAAGCAGCCTTTGGGTCTTGTGGGAGTACTCCCTGTGGATATAGCTAAGACAGGTTTCAGGTGGAGGACAAGTGAGGTCCCAGCAGCTAAAGATAGATAAAAGAAAAAAGAAAGGAGGAGGAAGGGAAAGATGAGTGTTAGATAGTAATCAGAGTAGGAAGCCCCACTGAACCAGCCAAGGAACAGCTATGGCTAAGAGGGAAATAAGAAGTGCTTGGAGAAGGAAGGTGGAGGAGAGCCACTGTACCTACAGAGTGGAGGAAAGGGAGGATGGACTACAGCAGTGGTGAGCCTGTTTAAGGCATTCCTAGAGTCAGCTGGGGCAGAGGCTATTTATTTGATTTCTTATTAACAAAAGGAAGTGTCTGGATCAGATGGGGCTTCTGCTGCTTGACTGCCTGCCCAGAGTGGGGCCTGACCTGGACCAGGAGTCTCTTACCAGGGCTGGTTCAGGCAAGATTGGGGTTTGTAATTGAGATGTGCCCTTCACACCCTTCTCAAACAGAGTCCTTGGTAGGTCAGCATAGGATACCAACTGCCCTCACCATACCAGTGGAGGATTGAGCTCCTAGGAGCACCCTGGGAATATCTATGGGAGCATTAAGTAAAATATGTGGGAGAGAAGTATGGAAAGGAAAGTATGGGGCAGTGACTGGTTGTTACTATTGGCCCTAGCATGGGCATTGTGACTAGGGCTGGTTTGAACTTAGTATCTACACTGAGCTTATCACACAGTGGTACTTAGTATTTTCTTGTGTTAAACTGTCCTTCACCTGGACAGTGCCTGCCAGTTTTTTTCAAACATTTACATACACTGTCTCACTGAGCCTCATAAACTGCCTTGTGAGACTGATAGGTGTGGAATCATTTACTTCATACTTGAGATGAAGAAACTTTCCATATGAGGGACAGCAGCTAGCCCAAGAACACACATCAAGGATTCAAGCCCAGGCCTTTTATTACACTATGGGAAAATAAGAGAAGTTCCTTAAGAAGTCTTCACTTCTTCCCTACCCCTTTCCTCATCTAAGGTCAGACTGGGCAAGCATGCTTCCTTGGGAATCTTGAGGAACAGGAGCCCTCCCCTAGCTGCTTTTCATTTCTGGGTTGAGTGTGTGTGTGTGTGTGTTTGGTGGGAGGACTAAGCTTAGTCAGAAGCAGAGGTGAGAACCTCCAATGGGTAGGGTCCTAGAACTGCCCCACCCACAACTCTCTTTCCTGTCCCAACTGGGTTCAACTCCTGGTGAGTCAGGAATAGAGGATGCTTCCCAGGTGTGGGTGGGGTAGCCTGGCTTCCTCTGCAGGCTGAGTCCAGTTCTCCAAGGAAACCATACTGAACAGGTGCTAACCAGGTCTCAGTTTCCCTGAAGAACAGTCTTGTGGGACTGCAAGGGCAGGACTCTGTAACCTTATTGTATTTGTTATACAATACCAGAGCCATAACTCCCTAACATGCTTTAGGTGAGCATGAGGGTGAGCCGTAAAACCCAAGGAAAGACCCAAGCACAATCAACCATCCTAAGTTTGGCCCTGCTGAGCACATGTCCCTTTGACCACCTGTTGTCAATAACTTTCAGAAATCTGGCCCACCAAATGTCTTCCTGTCCTGCCTAGGCACATCACACCCCCACTAATGTCCCAGATGAGTCAGGCCAGGCCTGCTTAGGGACCCTCCTGCATATGGTTATCCGGTTTGGGGGACTGGGTCCCAGTTAATGATTGTTATATTGGCTCCCCTGTTGGGAGGCTGCTGAGAGGGAACCCAGCTCCCATCCAGGACAGGGTCATGGAGCCCAAACTGAAAGCAATTTAAGGGCATGGGGGTGGGGTGGGAGAAAGTAATTGATTGTAGGTTCTGTTTCCAATGGTTAATTATCCAGCTGGCAAAGAGAAAGAAAAGCGGGAAAGCTGGGGGTGGGGTGATGAATTAATGAAAGATGCGAGGGTGAGAGGAGTTTGCCACAGAGACCTTTGTACAAGAGAGGGCCCCTTTCTGAGAGGCTGGTGACCTGAGGTTCTGTCTCACTATGCTAAGACACCCATTTTAACTTCATTGGACCCCAATTTCCCTGTATAGGATAATGAAAGTGTGGAACTAGATTTGTTCATTTATTCAGAAGCTATTTGTTGAGAGATTTCTGTGTGCTAACCAGTTGTCTGGGCTGTGGGCACAGTAATGAACAGGACAGACAAGGTCCCTGTTCCCAAAGAGCTCACATAGAAGGATACCTTCTATAAGGGTCTTTCACCACTGGGTAGTTCTTGAGTGTAAGAAGCAAGATGGAGGATACCCAGATTAAAAACTTGGGTTCTGAAGTTAGTCTTTCTTTCATCCATCCATTCTTCTTTTTCAACAGAAGTTGAATGCCTGACACATCAGGTACCAATAAAAGGTAGCTTTGTTTCTCCTGGAGTCCTGCTGTGGCACTGTAGGATAAGCACTAGGCCACAGGGTCAGTTTGAACTGCAAGATGAGTTTGAATCACATGGTTGGTGTTTCAAATTCACTAACCACTCCTTGGAAACCCTATACAGAGTCTCTATGACTCAGAACCTAGTCAATGACACTGAACAACAACAACATTGCTTCTACTGTGAGGTAGTTTGGTTCTGAGGCTGGGCTTCCTGGGGACTTTTCATGCTTGGAAGTAGGTTCCAAGTCCTG